TCCTAAAGGGTGCTGGGGTCCCAGCATAAATCATCGTATCAGTACATAAAAGATACAAAGATAAAAAAATGTGTGCTTTATATGTAAGTAACGTTTATTGGAAATCATTAATCAAAGCTTTAATTTGTTCAGCTCAAGGTTTGGAAAGAAAGGCGGGAAAAATAAACATTGACTAAACATAGCGTGTAGCATAGGACGTCTCTGCCTCCCGCTGTAAGTAGTGGCATTATGGTCTTGACCAAAGCAGGATTAGCAACATAGCCTCATGAGCCAGCTTCTATAGATGAAGAGCATATGTCACGAAATCAAAGCTACCGACAATAATTTAGAAACCCGTACGCGCATGGTCACAACTTTTGTATATAGAGATACTTCAATTTATAGAATAGAGCAGTCGTCTAAGTCGAAACAAGCATTTCTTCCCTTTCAAAATTGGAAGCCTGACCTAAGAGTACACTTGATTTTCATCAGGCATCTATTTTTACGCTTGCGTATTTCTTGTGGAGCAGAGGGGAGGGGGGTCAAAAAAGACGGAAACCTTGGTGGCTGTAACGTGAAGCCATTCAATGGAACAACAACTAAAACAATTTCTAACCAGAAAATTAAAAAAAAAGGTTCCTGTGCAGAACTTCATGCGGTTCTGCAAACGCGCGCGTGCAGGGCCACTCACCCTGGATCCTCTCCAGCGTTCGCTCTGCTAAAGTGGAAAGGGGTGGGAGGAGCTTCCACTTTACTTTTAATCTGGCACCGACTATATACATGGCTTTCACCTACGTCACAGGATGATATCGGACACCGGTATCCACCATGCTGGTGTTTGACTCGACGGCCCTTCGCAGCGAGAGCAACGGTAAACTGCGCCGCGCTCGGCTGTAGCAAGTACCCCGTATCCCGACGATCATCCGATTGTTTTGTCGGCAGGCCTCGCGAGAGAGAGTAGCCGTCAAGTTAGAGAAAGTATGAGCGGCAGGAAAGGGATGCGGCCGCGGATTACCAAGTTTACGGGACGCATTTCATAGCGGCGAGCGACGGCACTTTTCTACCGTTGTTTACGTTCGCGCACGCATTTGCATCGGCTTTTGCCCGTTCATGATGTAGGTTGCCTTTGCCTTTCGTTACATCACGCCATTTCAATTCAATTCATTTTTTTTATTCAGATAACATACATCAGACAGTTGTCTAGGGGGCCGTCGCAAAAGGCAACTAAACGCTTCCAGCTCGGCCGAGTGCACCTTCGCGGGGCTTCTGGCCGAGTACGCCTGATTGTCGCGCTGCGAGCCCGGCCAGGCGGCGATCGGTCGGCGGCGGACCCCGTGTGCAAGCTCACCGAGACGCCGCCGCCGGGGCATCGGTTTGTGCCGTCCGCGAGACGGTAACCTTAGCAAGGAGCGAAAGGTTAGGAAACATCATAATGTCTCGGGGAAACATCCCTGAGACAATGAGAGTTGTCTTGCCCGTTATTTAACTTATCATTGTCTCGGGATTTAGATTACGATGGTAGCCTTACGTCGTTTACAAGTATTTCGCAAAATCGCCACAATATTTCTACAAGCGACTCCTAGAGCCGCTCGTCAAATGTGGGAACGCGCAATTAATTTTTTTTTTTTTTTTTAAGACGTGACAGCTTTTTTTTTTTTTTTTTTTTGGAAACTTTGTCGGAGGCATATCGAAATTTTCTGCTCGTAGCGCAATCAGACCAGCGCCGAACAATACCGCACGTACCGGCTAAACGTCATCCTCGTAAGCTCGGCACGTTTTTCCAAGTTCATGTAACACAACTAGGAACCATTGCTGAAAATATGGTGCATGTCAGCGCAATCCGGGCAGTTGGCGCTACCCTATACACGAACTCATCTCTGTTACGTCACGGCGCGGTGGTGGCGCATCGGTCGCACTTCCGGTCTGGAGCTGTGGGCAGAAGTCCCACCGCCAGACGTGTATTCCTGCGTTGTTTTGAAAGGAACGTGACAAAAACTTGCCTTCTCGTCAAAACGCCGCGACTGGGGCCGTACCAAAAGTGTCGAGAAAGGTTTGAAGGTCAGTTTTCACGTGCTCGGTTCATCCGAGAATATGGATATGCGCCGTGAAAAGGGAAAAACAGACGCCGTCGGACAACGATTGCTTGGGCGGGAAGCACTTTGTATGGTCATCAGATTTATTTGTTTTGATCCAACATGAACGCCGAAAAACCGTCAAGCTGTGCGGACCACCTGCCGACTGCGTTCAGTGCGTCTTCAAGTTGAAACGGCCACCTGATCGTTCGAATTGTCGTCTGCTCTTTCAAACGTTTCTGCTTGTCGTCTGCTCTCTTAGACGTCGCCGGCCCGTAGACCAAATCTTGGCCCGGTACTTGCGATAAGAAGTAAGTGCACGCCTCAAAAGACTTAAATTTGAAGGTTGGTAAGTAGGATCGATGTAAACAGTAGATGCAAGGAGATGTTGATCACAGTTACCAGTGACCACCACCGACTTCCTAGGCCTGATTGGCATGGTCCGATTCTGCTTTAGATTTTCAATATCGACGTCGACCATCTCAGCTACGGTTCACGCTTTTGCAGCCCGAGCGACGTTGCGACTGAAAATTGCGAGCGAAATCTCATCAAGCGAATCAGGCTTTAGCGTCCATTCTGCGGCGTCCACGCGGAATGAATCGCCGCATGTTACATTATTGACGCGGAGTTTTGCGGTTTAACGAGCCTTGTTGATTTCGCTGAGGCCGCTCAAGTAGTCAGACATTGCCAGGAAGACGTATAATCAATAATTCGAAAGCGAAAAAGGGCAGGGGGACTCACACAAACGCCGATAACATCGCATTTCAATGGTTTGTTTATGGGCGACGGCGAGCTTTATGCCCACACCCCCATCGCGCAACGCCGGCGCCGGTGGCGCCCGCTAGGGGCGCTCCGGTTTGTTTGTAAACATGAGTTGGTGTATACGCCTTGGTAAGCGCATCCGCGCGGTGTGAAGTCAATCACCAGTATGGTGCGGAGCCCCGTCCTATAGCGTGACATCACTTTCAAGGTATGCATAACTTCCTGCCTCACGTGTTTGCGAGCCGACTATTTTTTCTTGAACTATGACATTTCCGCATATCTGTATAAACAAGAGAGAGAGTACCTTTATTTTAACAATTACAAAAATGAATTAAGTAACGGAAAAGTACAGTGGTTTATTCCTTTATATGTAGCGAAAACTTTTTCTTTCTTTTTTTAGGCATCGTAGGGTGGGATTGCCTTGCTTTAAATTTTAAGTAACGACTAACCTGTTCTTATTTTTAATATTTTCGGTTACGTTACAACGCTGCTTGTACGGTCTCAAAAGAACAAATAAATAAAAAAGAATCAATGCTCAATATTTCTTTCTCAAGCAGCTGTTGTTGCTTGAGCTACAGAAGACTCGGGTATTAAATTAATTCTCATATTTACCCCGACGTACGTAAGCAAGAAAAATAAGTACTGTGTTGAAGGGCTAGAATAGAGCTTTCGCACGAACAAAAATCATGCTCCTCTCTCCGTATCCCGCCGGTCTACGGTACATTTATCTCGCCGAAGAGAGCACACCCTTTTCAGTCACGCAAGGCATTTCGCGGTGGCGCGAAACGGAAAAGAAGCCCCGGATATTTTTTTTCCATCCGTGTCGTTGTGGCGTTCGCCGCAAGGGGCCGCCTCGTCGCGGCGGCGGCGCGCGTCGCCGCCCGCGCAGTTGTCGTCTGCAAGCATCCGTCGTCTGCTCGTCTCCGCGCCTCTCGATCTGCACCTCGCGAAGCTGGCGGAAAGCGTCGCCGTATACCGCATTCTGCGTCGCACGTCGAAAACTCCCAACCGGCGCCAAAACACGAACACAACACCTCGTCACACAATGAGCGACCCTGGGACCCTCGGAGCCTCCAGACGCCCGCTTCGTCCACACGTAAACTCCCGGACGGCCTCGACACGTCGCAGCGGGGCCCTGGTCGAACAACGTCGGTCCTAAAGACACGACCTCTGGATTACAGTGTTGTGACGTGTGTAGCTTCGGACGTCACGCCCGACCGCGGATTTACGGTGAGCCCCGCTGAAGTGCGCAGCACGTGGATTCCGCTATGTGGGTTTCTGCCGCTCGTCTGCGTTAGTGAACCTTCTGAAGACCTTGAACCGACCCGTCCACGGCATCTGCCACCGCTCCAGCTTGATACGCGGTGCGGACGCTGGACAAAAACGTCGAATTCCCATAAACGAAAAGTCTAATTTCATCGTTTTTAATGTTAAAATCAGTTTTCTTTTTTCTTCTTTTCGGAACCGGTGAATGCCTTCGTAGCACACACGCACAAAAACAAAGTGCCGCGTAGCCGCGATATTCTACGCCGTTGGCAAAGAGTTTTGACGACCGCTATCGCCGTGTTGTAGGGTGTCTTGGGGCTTGCGGATTAAGGATATCGAAGAACGGTTCACTAATATCGAGGTGGTAAGAAGGTGACCTAAACTAAGATTGGTTTTGGCGATACGGTACTACAAAATACCACAAACTGTATAACAAGTTTCCACAAATTTGGTGTGTGCCACAAGAAGAAGAACCGGTGTTCCGAGTGCTTTCGGCGAGTTTCTTAGCACAGCCAACCTGCTCATTGCAAACTGCACACAGGAAGCCAATCGAAAGATACTAATACAACCTGAGATGTTTGCGAAATGTTCCCTTAAACATGAAATTATCAGTGATCCCCATCTAGCTTCACGCTGAGGTGTGTATTTGGTTTCATTTTCGATTCAGATCCCATGGTGTTGTATGACCGTAGTTTACGCGCTCCCTCCGCGAAGTAAAGCGCGGGTACGTCGTGTGTGCTTCAGCTTTATCACGCTATATTTCAGTTTCGTGCCGGTATTATTCAGCTTCAGCTTCCCCACTGTGTCGTCCAGCTTCGTTCCGGTATCTTTCAGCCTCGTCACGGTGTCGTTCAGCCTCGCCACGGTACCCTTCAGTTTCCTCAAGGTGGTTCCCTTCAGCTTCGCCACGGTACCCTTCAGCTTCCTCAAGGTGGTTCCCTTCAGCTTCGTTACGGTGTTGTTGAGCTCCGTCGCGGTGCTCTTCAGATTCCTCACGGTGTTCGGAGACACGGCGCCCGGACTCCGAGTGCAGTGCCGCGAGTGTCGTCGGGAGCAGCGCGCGCGGCGACGCCCTTCAAGTCCCTCCTTCCCGTCGCCCGTTGAGGATGTGCGTTTGTGAGCGGCTTGACCATGGGCTGCACCCAGAGCGGAATACAGCGGCGAAGTCGCAGCCACGACGACCGCAGCCAGGGGCCTGCCACGCCCGTCGTGTGCGACGTCGTACCGCCGACGGCCAACGCGACGACCACGACCGCGCCCGGGTTGCCGACGACCACGGCGGCTCCGAAAGGTGGTTGTGGTGCCGGTGTGCTTCGCGGCAACGCGCATCGCTTCGAGAACAACTTTCCCAGGGTCAGGCAGAAAATGGTCAACTGCGACGGAGTCAACGACTGTGCGGTTCCCCTCTGCTCGGTACCCGAAGACGGACGGGTGAGTTGGCTCTTCGTTGCTGTCGCTTCGCGTTCGTCGCTTTTCGCAAAGGTGACAGGTGCGCACCTTCTCACCTGGGGTCATTCCGTCCGCTGGGAACCCTCTTCGTCTCGAGGGACAGTCGAAACTAGTCGGTGACGGCTTAAAATACTCGTGCGTTTTCGTTCCTGGTAATCTCAATCTCGCTTTGCAGCCAATAAAATTACGGCATATGATCGATAAGCACGCCAAGGAACAAGTCATTAGGGAGTTTTAGAATAACGTGCGTAATTTTAGCGCACGCTAGCGCTAAATTTAGCACTTGTATTAGCGCACGTGACGCGAGAGAGTTTTAGAATAGCGTTTCCCCCTTCGCGACGCAAAAGCCCCAGCATCTCGCGCTTGCGACGCCATCAAGATACAGTCACAATTTTTATTTCACACACGAATTGCTGTAACTTCAGAAAAAAAGAAATGTTTCCTGGTCCAGAGTAGCATTTTAGATTTGTTTAAACATGAGAATGCGGCGCGAGCGGTTGACCGGTCGTGTCGGCTTGCGTCGCCTCGGCAAGAGAGGTCTCGTGTACTGACCTTCGCACATCGTACCTTCGCCGACAAATGTTCGCGCGTCACAAGCATCACGTTGCCGGTGATCGTTGTCAAACCGAGTACAATGTCGTCCCGTATTGAAAATCGCAGTCGCGAGGATGCCGCCGACGTCGCACTCACGACGCCGCCAAAGCAGCCGCCAACATAATCATGGGAGCCCCCATTTTTTAAACTCTGCTAGTCTTGGCTTTAGCCAACTTCTCATCACGAATCCTCCTTGGAGAAGCGCAAAGACTCTTTGCGTACGCACGCTATTTCCGAGAAATAGCGCACGCAAAGCACGAAACCTGGTTTGCGTTTGGAGCATGCGCAGTGACGACGACGCTATTCTTTGCGTACGCAAAGCTTTGGCGTGCGCTATTATAAAACTCCTTATTAGCAAGAAGTCTGGGCCGGCTTGTTAAGGCCCAGACTTCTTGCTTCAAGTGTCTCAGTTGAGACTGCTCAAAGAAAGCGCTGCAAGGCTCGGGCGCGCGAGCGTCTGAGACTCGGCTTAAGCTCGAGCGCTAGCCTTGACAGCTCTTACTTTGAGCAGTCTCAACTGAGACTCTGCTTCGAGCAAGCCGGCCCTGATTTCCTAAGCTGCCAGTGACGACGTACCCTCGAACCAAGTTCAAAGGCCCGGGTCGTTTGTTGTCTGACGCTTGGACAATGGACTTAACCAGTCGAGAGCTTCGTCTCACCACATAGACGAACAATGAACGCTGTTCGCAGATGCGTATAACGCTCTTAACACTACTTTACGAGCCTGAGAAACATGATTGCATGCGAATGGTGAATTTTAAGCAAAGCGCAAAGAAACTTCTCTTTTGGCGAGCTGCATTCTTCGCTTTTTCCAAGATTATTGACCTAATAAAATACTTAATTTCAAGTAAAGTCACTCTTTATTGATAAAAACGCGCGTTTGAATTTTTATTCGGTTCATCCACCGTACCGTAATTAAAAGCGTGTCCTCCGCATGGATTTTTGATTGCGTAAGGAAATGCTACTTACATCGGCGTCTGAAATCGAAAGAAACAGTACAAAGCAGAATTCGGAGTGCCGACATCTCTCGAAGCATATCTATGCGCTGCATACACTGCCGGCGGCTTCTGTCCGCTCACCGCAGTCACGAAGCGGTTGCCTTCGGAACTCTTTTAAGCCGTTTTGCGAAGACACAGCTGGTCGCGAAATCAAGACGCTTACTGGTTCCATTGTCCTGCTCACTGAATAGAGGCCGACCTCGGCGCTTCAGAGCGCGGCTGTGCGAGCCAGATGTTCTCGAACATGAGCACTCGCGCCTCTTGATTCCGACGTGTTTGCCGAACACACGACGCAGCCGGAAGACTGAAAACGTCGTCGCTGATTGCAGCATTTGTCGGGTTCGCACCTCGGGTGCTACTGGCCGTACACTTTAGTCCCCACCGCAATGCAACACACTGCTGCTTCATCGGGAGACGCGTCGCAACCGTGTTACAGCTGAGCTTCCCGAGTTCGCCGCTGGAGGCGTGGCTCGCCGGTGCCGAGAGTCACGGGACAGCAGCTTGCCACGCCACGCGTCGCCGGTAAAGCCCTTAGATCAAATTCGAGCTTCGCCCTAACGCATCAAGGGGCTTTAAGGCCCGGTAACACATATGCGTTTGCGCGTTCTCTCATCGCAAGAGGTCTTAAAAGCTTTTAAGGCACACGGGCGAACGCAGTCGGAAGTGTGCGAACGAGCCCTTACTTACCGGTGGTTCTGGCTCCCCTTCGCAGCATGAAGGGCATCTTTTGCCCTTTACTCTCCTCAGAACCGGTCGAGTCTGAAACGACATTTTGGTTGCAACTGTATATTTAGGAGCCTCTGAAACCGTAATGCACTGACTCGGTTTGAATCTATCCTTTAGGCAATATTTTTTTCTTTCGCCGACTGCGGCAAGCTATTTTCCTTTTGGGCACCACATTTGACGAAATAGGAGACGGATAACGCGCCTTCATCAGCAGACGACGTTATAGAGATAAACGTGAACGTTTTCGACAACAACCATCCTCACCATTTTTGTTTCTTGTTTGCGCAAATTCATTGCGTCATTGCTAGACGCAGCACCACAGGCCCTCATGGTATACGGGCGATTTGCCTTCCTGTGCCGTCGCGGCTGTCCCGAGTTACACTAAATATCTATATCTGTATAAAATGTCCACCCTTTGGTAATCTCCAATCGACACTTCGAATTACTTGTTGGTCCATGGCGCAGGCTGAGGATCAAACGGGTTGTTATTGGATAGCTTGAAGGTATATCTTCCGAACACATCCTTAAAGCGGCGGTGACTCCTCGTACAGAAGACAGTCTACAACCACTTTCTGAGGCGTGTTTCTTTCTCCTTCCTTGTCATTCAAAAAACCTGTCCGCAGACATGTTCCAACAAGCACATGTATTTAGCAAATATGCCTCGAACATGCTTGAGTGTCTGAAGATTATCCTGTCATTATGTATGCCGCGAACACCGTGACAATTTTATGATACATGTGCGTTCTGACTGTGGCTTAAGGTCTCATAAGGGTGTACAATCAATATAAAAAAATGATTTCAATCTTGGTGTAAAGGTACCCTGAGGAGGTTTCTGAGATAGCCTAAATATTGCGCTAACTCACGCTTCAGGGTCTAAGAATCCTAGAAATCCCTAAATCATGACGATACGCATCCGATTTCCCTATTAAAAAAGCAATCAAAGATCGAAACACGCCCAGGTCATCTCCGGCGATGGGACCACGGTCAGTCGATAGCGAGCGAAGGATCCTCACGACTCCGAATGGTTGAACCGCGGAGTGATATCTCGAATGCGCGCGGTTCATTTACCATACAGCCCGGACCGTACGATTCAAACCAGCGAGAGCGCACTCGAGAGCTCGAGAGCGGACGACCAGACGCATCACTCCCGCAAATATATAACTAACTAAATCAATAAATAAATAAATATATATATATATATATATATATTTACACAACGGGCATGGTGGCGGAGGGGCCGAAGGCGTGGGTACAGAAGACGAAAAGAACCCTTGGTGAAAACAGCAACAACGGACGATTTAATCTTCGACGTTTCGGCCGGAGTCGGGCCTTCGTCAGGAAGACAAAGGCCGAAACGTCGAAGATTAAATCGTCCGTTGTTGCTGTTTTCACCAAGGGTTCTTTTCGTCTTCTATGTATATATATACATATAGTTTTCTGTTTTTGAGACGATTATTGCAGTCTTATGTTCCCTCTCTGCGAGAAGTTATAATATTTTGAATACTCTTACTCTCTTCTATCATCTACAAAAACGTACACATTTTGTAATAACAGCGTTTGCAATTGAGACGAAATTTCGCGTTTTGTTTGGTCACATGCTATCCTTGCTGCCGGTACAGTGCTTTCCGTCGCCGGATAGAATTTAGATCTTTGATTGATTTTTTAATAAGGAAATTGGCGGCGCATTGCTATAATTTATGGATTTTTAGAAGGCTTAGAGACCGCAGAGTGAGTTATCGCCGTATTTAGGCGACCTCAGAATCCTCCTCAGGGCACTTTTAAGTGAAGACTTAAATCGTGATTTAGGTGACACCGCTCTTTACTACGATGATTAAAGTGTAACCTTTCCCCAAGATATAATCCCCTGAAATATTTCTTATATACTGTTTCTCTGCATTTGATACTTTCAATGAGAATTTGTATCGTATTTAAAAATAAAGATTCCAGCAAAAATGATTTAAAGCGAGTTGAACACGAACGACTTTTCTATGCAAATGAAAAGGTTGATTTTGTTTTCTTTTTTTTTTTTGCATTCTACTTTATTTGTTAGTTATGTAATCCCTACTGCAAGCAAATCAAAACGCAAAAGTAAGAAACTAAAACAAGAAAAGGAATGTCCTAATGCGAGCAAATCAGAACGCGATAAAAAAGGCAAATACATGTTTTTCACTAGAAAAAAAAAATAGGCTGCTTTTGTTCTAGCATGGCGGGTTTACATCAATAAAAATATTTTAAATTGTAATAAAAGTTTAAATGTATATCTCCTTTTCCATACTGTTTTCAGTGATCGAACGGATTTGTCAATCAATATGTCATATTTAAGAATACATAGAGTGACGACCGAATCACTTTTTCTTTTCTAACTACAGTGATTTAAATCAAATACATCTAGTTGAAATCAAATAAATTTCATTCAAATTAAATCAATCCGATTTAACAGAGATTTAAAAAAGAAATTCCACCCAACTCTTTAGGCTCACTCTTCCCTGGTAGACTTCATATTTCAGTGAAGACTTAGCATGGGGTGTAGGTTGTTTCTAGCTCCCCCAAATAACGATGAATGGCTCCCCGACTGCTTTCCCGAAATATTAATGCACGGAAATATTTCCTTGTGTATAGGTATACCTACTGGGGATAACATGTTTTCGTGGCTTCCTTTTACGG